TACAAGAGCAAACTCGCAGCAAAGAACAAATCGTTTGTGCTGGTATCATGCGAACTTTCAGCAAAAAGCTAAAAAGTGCATTCCTCGGTGCGATATTTCGGAAAACGATCAAAGCAGTCTGTAAGGGCGGCATCTGACTGCAGTTTATCTAATAGCCGTCTCTTTGTGGTTGATAAATATTTGAAACAAAGATTTCTTCTTGATACTGGTTCAGATTTATGTTGTTTTCCTCGCAGTTTATTACGAGAACGTCGTGCTCCTGTCAATTATGATTTATGCGCTGCAAATGGAAGCGAAATAAAGACATACGGTTTTCTAACCTTAAAACTCAACTAAGGACTCCGACGTTGTTTCTTGTAGAGATTCATCGTTGCCGATGTGGATTTACCAACTATTGGATCGGATTTTCTCGCACATTACCACCTTTTGCCTGATTGTCGTACGAAGCGCATTGTTGATGTTTCCACTGGACTTCAAGCTCAAGGTTCATTTCAACGTTCTGCACAGTGCAGCGTTAAAGCTGTTCAGGATTATTCCCCTTTTTTGGCTTTTGTTTCTGAGTTTCCTGAAATTACTCGTCCACCTGGTTTACCACGAGAAATCAAGCATCAAACGGTTCATCATATTTGAACTACTTCTGGACCACCGGATACAAGCAAAGTGTGCCGCTTAGGTCCTAAAAAGTTGAAAATTGCTCGTAAAGAATTCGACGACATGTTGCAAGCTGGTACAACTCGACCATCCGAAAGCTCTTGGTCATCGCCTTTGCATCTAGCACCAAAGAGTGATTCGACTTGGCGTCCTTGTAGAGATTTTCGCGCGTTAAATGCTCGAACTATTCCGGATCGTTACCCTGTTCGCCACATTCACGATGTTACTTACTTCATCGATGGTTGTACGGAATTTCCGAAAATTGACCTTGTAAAAGCTTATCAACAAATTCCAGTCGCAGAAGAAGATATTTGTAAAACTGCTATAATAACTCTATTTGGCCTTTTTAAATTTCCGTTCATGACGTTCGGTCTTCGAAATGCTGGTCAAACCTTTCAAAGGTTCATGAACGAGGTTTTACATGGATTGGATTTTTGTTTTCTATATATGGATGAAATTCTCGTTTTCTCTCGTTCAAAGACAGAGCATAAACGACATCTTAAAACTATTTTCGAACGACTCGCAAAATACGGGATGGTAATAAATTTAAAGAAATGTATTTTGGAGTTTCTGAGGTTGACTTTGTAGGTTACACTATATCTGCTGCTGGTATCCGAACGCCTGAGGAACGTGTCCAAATAATTTAGAACTACCCTTTGCCAAAAACAGCTCAAGGCCTCCGCCGTTTTCTAGGTATGCTAAATTTTTACCGCAGATTTGTACCTCATGCCTCTAAATACGAAGATCCTTTACATGATGCAATCAGCAAACCGATTTTAAAAGGTTCTCAAATAATCACTTGGACACCTGACTTAGAAGAAGCATTTCAAACCTGCAAAACTGCATTACTACTGCTTCACTTCTTGTTCATTCTCGGATTGGTGCACCACTTGGTTTGTTTACAGATGCTCCAAACTATTCTGTTGGAGCTTGTTAACAACAGCTTGTAGATAATGTTTGGCAACCCCTTGCATTCTTTTTTAAGAAAATGTCTTCGAAGGAAAGTTCTTGGCCTGCTTATTATCGTGAACTTCTAGCAGTTTATGCTGCAATACAGCATTTTCGACATTTATTAGAAGGGCATTCTTTCACGATATACACAGATCACAAGCCGTTAATTTGTACTTTTCAACAAAAGCGTGAAAAACTTTTACCAGTGCAGTTAAACTAACTGTCTTTTATATCGGAATTTTCAACTGACGTTCAATATATAAAAGGTATTGACAATGTCGTAGCTGATACTCTTTCAAGAATCGAAGCTGTTTCTGAACCATTTATTTACAAGTTGTTGGTCGAGTCTCAAAAAGAAGATAAAGAGCTTAAGAAAATAATCGATGAAAATTTTTCTTTGCACATCGAACGAGTCCCAATTCCTGGATCTTCAATAACTGTGTTCTGTGATACATCAACAGTAAAACCTCGGCCCTTTATCACGCCTAAATTTCGTCGTGGTGTTTTCGATCAACTTCATAACTTGAGACATCCAGGTGCCAACGCTTCACTCAAGTTAATTAGCGACCGTTTCGTTTGGCCTTCTATGAGTAAGGATTGCAAGAATTGGGCTCGTGCTTGCAATGAATGTCAGCAATCAAAAATTTCTCGTCATGTTTGTGCTTCTATTGGATCGTTCGAAACTCCGACACAAAGCTTTTCGTACATTCACATAGATTTGATTAGTCCGCTTCCACCTGCACATTCTTTTAGATATTATTTGTCCGTTATCGATCATTTTACTCGATGTTCAGAGGTTTACCCTTTGCAAGATATTACTGTAGATTCAGTGATTCATGCATTGTTGGACTGTTGGATTTCACGTTTTGGTTTTCCTCAAACGATAACTTCGGATCGAGGAGCTCAATTTACTTCGCATCTTTTTAAAGATTTTGTGAAACTTTTCAGTTTACAGCATAAGCTAACTACAAGCTGGCATCCTGCTTCAAATGATTTAGTTGAACGCTTACATCGCCAATTGAAAGCTGCAATCAAGGCTCCCAGATTTTAGGGAGTTTGCCGCATGCGCAGTGCGCAATCACCCTCTCTCCATAGAGCAAGCTGGAGTGGGAGAGTCCCCCTACCCAGACCTTTAACCTAAGCTCCGCCCACTTTTCACAACTTAAGTATGACATCTTGTCAAATAGGAGTACAATCGACAATAGCCGCGCGGGCTAAGTCTTTGCCCCAGCCAAACTTGCCAGCTTTCGAATCTCTCTGATAATTTTTTTTTTTTTTTTCAATGTACGTTATACATAAAGTGTTATGACACGTTTATGTAAATAATCATATGTATAACGTTTTAATACCAAGACATTATTTCAAAAAATATTATGTACAAGACAAGGTAAGTGAAATTATGAAACAATATGTTCGTCACTTGTTAAGGAAATCAAAACATTATTATTTAGTGAGTTAAGCGTCGAGTAATGATAATTAAAGTATTATTTAGAATTTAAAAATTATCAAACGACACGTCTTGATCATTGTTAATGTAATTTACTATCACATTATTATGGTCGATAAGCAACACTGTTTAATACATTAATTTGTCCCGAATTGCACGAATTTTTTTTTGATTGGTGTATCATTAATAACTTACTTCGCTACCAGTATTTATTCTTCGAAATACGTCTCGTCGAAAAATATTGATTGCCATAAAAGTCCATGCTGCAATTTCTCAATATTTTTCTATATGGACCCTAAAAACACTCGACAAAAAATATTAAAAAAATTCATGCATTATTTCAGACAGTATAAATAATAAAATCTATGAATTTTTAGTTGTTGTTTAATAAATAAACAACTTTCTTTCGCTCGGAGTATGTTTATTACAGCACGCTCTCTCCGTATTTTCTCCAGGCTTGAGACCGGCATATTTACTGTGGCTACATTCAACAAGGCCTAGGCAACCAAATTAGGAAAATTATCTAACATATTGCATAATCAAAACGTTGGTATAATTTATGCCTGCTGCAACAACACACAGAAGGTTTTTTTTATACTATTGGTAAAAAATATGCTGTAATAAACATACTCTGAGCGAAAAAAAGTTGTTTATTTATTAAAAAACAACTGAAAATTCATAGATTTTATAATTTATACTGTCTGAAATAATGCATGAATTTTTTAAATATTTTTTGTCGAGTGTTTTTAGGGTCCATATAGAAAAATATTAAGAAATTGCAGCATGGACTTTTANTATTTAAAAAATTCATGCATTATTTCAGACAGTATAAATTATAAAATCTATGAATTTTCAGTTGTTTTTTAATAAATAAACAACTTTTTTTCGCTCAGAGTATGTTTATTACAGCATATTTTTTACCAATAGTATAAAAAAAACCTTCTGTGTGTTGTTGCAGCAGGCATAAATTATACCAACGTTTTGATTATGCAATATGTTAGATAATTTTCCTAATTTGGTTGCCTAGGCCTTGTTGAATGTAGCCACAGTAAATATGCCGGTCTCAAGCCTGGAGAAAATACGGAGAGAGCGTGCTGTAATAAACATACTCCGAGCGAAAGAAAGTTGTTTATTTATTAAACAACAACTAAAAATTCATAGATTTTATTATTTATACTGTCTGAAATAATGCATGAATTTTTTTAATATTTTTTGTCGAGTGTTTTTAGGGTCCATATAGAAAAATATTGAGAAATTGCAGCATGGACTTTTATGGCAATCAATATTTTTCGACGAGACGTATTTCGAAGAATAAATACTGGTAGCGAAGTAAGTTATTAATGATACACCAATCAAAAAAAAATTCGTGCAATTCGGGACAAATTAATGTATTAAACAGTGTTGCTTATCGACCATAATAATGTGATAGTAAATTACATTAACAATGATCAAGACGTGTCGTTTGATAATTTTTAAATTCTAAATAATACTTTAATTATCATTACTCGACGCTTAACTCACTAAATAATAATGTTTTGATTTCCTTAACAAGTGACGAACATATTGTTTCATAATTTCACTTACCTTGTCTTGTACATAGTATTTTTTGAAATTATGTCTTGGTATTAAAGCGTTATATATATGATTATTTACATAAACGTGTCATAACACTTTATGTATAACGTACATTAAAAAAAAAAAAAAAAAAATTATCAGAGAGATTCGAAAGCTGGCAAGTTTGGCTGGGGCAAAAGACTTAGCCCTCGCGGCTATTGTCGATTGTACTCCTATTTGACAAGATGTCATACTTAAGTTGTGAAAAGTGGGCGGAGCTTAGGTTAAAGGTCTGGGTAGGGGGACTCTCCCACTCCAGCTTGCTCTATGGAGAGAGGGTGATTGCGCACTGCGCATGCGGCGAACTCCCTAAAATCTGGGAGCCTTGGCTGCAATCATGGCTTACTCCGATATCGATTGGGTTCGTGCATTACCTCTTGTACTTCTCGGTATTCGCTCAGCTTTTAAAGAAGACATCAAGGCGACTTTAGCTGAGATGGTATACGGAGAAACTCTTTGCCTGCCTCATGAGCTTTTTGTTTCAAGTCCTGTGAACAAGAGTTTTGATGATCTTAAAAGTTTCCTTTCGAGCTTACGAGAGTTCATGTCACGCTTACGACCAGCTCCAGCATCAAGGCATTGTCAACCTGGGGTGTTTGTATTCAAGGAATTATCAGATTGCAGCCATGCAATTTTGACAGAAGGGCCGATTCTCAAAGCTCAACAGCCACCGGATACTGAGCCTTTTGCAATAGTTGAACGAGATCAAAAAACGGTTACTTTGAGAATTCGTGGCAATTCGATAAAATTTTCAATTAACCGTGTTAAACCAGCTTTTGTCATTCAAGATGAAGTTTTAACACCTGTTTCTACGTCAGTTCCTGTTTTTATTTTTAATACTGAAGATGTGCCTACGGTGCTCCAACCAGTTGTTGAACGCACAACACGTTCCGGCAGAAAAGTTAGATTCAGAGACGTTTTGAATTTATAGCCAAATTCTCTGCCAAGGGGGGTAGTATGGCAATTTATATATTCGAACATCGCAGCAGAATGTGTAAATTGCCTAGCAACGCGAATGTGTAATGAATAATATCTTAATGAATTTGTACACAGTCTGTCAACTGCTCTTGTATCAAAAGTATGAATATTCTGATAATAAATATTGATACTTTAAAATAGGAAGCATAAGTTATTCGTATTGATTCACTCTCGCCTTTTTACTATAAATATATGTCATACGGATGGCGCCAGGGACGTGGCTAGAGATCGTTTTTCCCCGGGGTCACGTGACGAGAGAGACGGGAGAATGGACTAATAACCCAATACGAGTTTCGCACGTAATTTAAAAATATGATTACCGACATAACCCAGTACGAGTTTCGCACGTAATTTAAATATAATTACCGACATTTGTTGGTAACAATAACTTTTGCACGTGACCCAATAAGCCGAAAAAGGCGCGCGTACTTTAAATGTTGCTAGGATGGTAACAACAATTTTTTTCTCGCAGAGTTACCGACATTGCTTGGTGGGTAATTTTTTCTTTTTTTAGCGGAGTGAAAATTAAGGGGGCTTCCCTGATTATCAGCTGTGAAAATCCATGAATTCGAAAGTGCGAAAATACGGCCAACGCTACTACCATTTTTCTTGCTAAAAATTTGAAATCATTATGAAGGTTGAGTTAGTGGGTAGTGAGCGAGGTTTCTTGAATAAAAACAATTCAAATTTATTTAATACATATATTGTATAAAAACACACTTAAGGTTTACATGTGAGTTGATATAAATTAAAAAAAAAATGTGCTATTCTGTGATTACTCTTAGGTTTGCTAATTTAAGTACATGTGTTGCTAACAATGCGATTATTTTTCAAATTCTTACGCCTAGTGATATGATTAAAAAAGGTTACAGCTATTTTATCGTTGGTGAGAGTATCTGATGAAAAAAATGAACAAAACATGCCTAAAGAATAGTTGTTACACATAAAAAATAGAAAATCAATACAGTGATCTTCACAAATGGTAGAATTAATATTTTGAAGCTGTTGTACATTCCAATGATAAGTAACACAATTTCTTTGGAATCTATCAATATGCTGGGGTACCATGGGAGGCAGACCATAGCTGTCAAAGTACACTCTATGACCTTTAATATCGACATATATAGCTACCTAATGCGTGCCCAGCTTAGAACTTTCATCGGTGTTAACTATGCGAGCGCACGGTCTCGCCCAAACAAAAGGTAACTGATCCACAGGGAATACTCCTGTCGTCGCTGCATGCATACTGCAAAGGGATCTACGTAGTTGCGACGAGTCCGTTATAAACGATTTGTAAATTTTTATGAGTTGAAATCCACAACTACTCGACGATTTAAGTCAATTTCCAATATGTTGTCAAATTCAGCATATAAAACACAACTTATAGTTTTCATGAGAGCTGTCTCGAAGTGTACTTCTATTCGTACTGTACCATTCCTTACTAAATTCCAATGACCTGTAAAATGTGCCGAAAGATCGGGCGTAAGATCAAATGCAAACAGATAATACTTGTTAGGATAGTTTTTCCTGTGAATACTATTTCCCTCATTTATGTAATAGATCCCGGTCCCCGAAAATAAAGTATGATATGCTTCCACGTACATAGGTGTGCTTCCTGTAAAAGTTGGTTGTAGCGGCTTACTTGGGAGTTGTACACCATCAACGTACAACGAGAAAAAATTTATAGAATAATTTTAAAAGTTCAAAGGATTCATCTGTCAATCCCCATTGAAGGCTTTGTTGTCAACAAAACCTAAAATGATTTTTTTCGGAAGTTGTCGGAGGATAACATTATCTAAAGAGTCGCCGTTTATACCACTATGTAGGGTTAAAGATTTGACTTCAACGCGCGTAATTGGATATTTTGCCGTAGTGTTTGCCAGAGTTTTTGCGTGCGCAATCAAAACTGTAGGGCTAACTTTCACTCGCTGAACGAGAAGTGTAGCCTCGCTAATGCTGACGGAATAATTTGTCGTTGAAGCATCCATGAGACAAAAAGCATCTTTCGCACGCACTAGACATAAACAAACTTTGACGCCATTTAATAATAATTTATCCTGATTGAATACGTCACAATGTTAATGACCCATTAAGTCTACGGTCTTTCCATCTTTTTAATATTCTTGACGCTTAGTAAGAGCTAAATTTTTTTTCGAACCGGGTAATTCGTCCATTTTACCAGCAATATCTGTTTCCCACAGATTTGTCAACAAATGCGATGATTTTGCAGCAGGACCGTAATTTAAAAAAGTTTCAATGTATACTCTGTATGGGTAAGCATTATTTGAAGGAGTTACGAGTTTTTGATTAAAATAAACGTCAACCTGGTTAAATATCGAGTGTAAAAAATTGTTCACTGGAGCTACAAGCGCATCCCCATCCTTGTCGTAAGGTGTCAATTTGACATTCACTCTGAGCATCGCATGGGCCAAGTCAATATAATCCTCATTTTGAGAACTGATAACGAATTCTATGGGACTCTCGTCGCTGAACGACGGAACAGGTTTGTATTGCACCCATCAATTAGTTTCTTATGCTGCCTGCGTGAGAGGAACGGAAAATAAATCTAACTCGCTTTTCAGACAAGGATCGTATGACTATGTAGGAAAGACATGATTATCCAAAAATATCTACAGGTCTTGATTTTTTATTTATTACCGCCTTTTTCTTTGTTTTACGACCAACTTTATTTACTTTTCTGTTTGTTTTTTTCTTCTTACTATTTTTCTTACGCGCACCTATTTTTCGTTTAGCTACTTTCGATTGACCTTTTGTTTTCTTTTTTTTTTTTGCACTTTTCAATGAGATGTTTACAACACCGCTTCTACGTCGAGACTGTATTCTTTTTTTATATGGTAAAGCATTATGTCCCGATCCTTCCATTAACTTCACAATTTTTTCTGTAGCTTTACGTTTTAAATTTTTACCGGATTTATTCATCCGATTCTTGAATGCGTTTTTAAAAGGTATATTGCTCTCTCCAACATCGTCTATTATATTCACTCCCACTCGTAAAGCTTCTTTTCCAACGGCATGAGCACCTCTGACTATGTAGGGCATAGTACTTCGAAATAGTCCAGTGAAAAAAAAATCTAATCCGTGCCCTCTCTGTCTATATGACCTCGCAAACACATGCTTGACTCCTCTTCCACCCCCGTGCTGTGTGTGATATCCCTCGTAAAAAACCATTTTGTAACGATTCGCTTAAAAAAAAGCATTCCCTAAATGTAACACCACGGTCAGTTTTCTAAACTAAAATGATATTGGCTTACCAAATTGATCTCTTATATCTATATCAATTGTATGAAATTTATTATCAAGGGTGAGTAGACTGGTAGAGTATATCTCTTGACAATTGTGCTCCCGAAATGAATTTCCTAAGCGGCTTAATTTACTATCTTCAGCAAGGGTGCAAACGTATCACCAACAATACATGGCTCACATATATTAGAATATATAAAAAGTTGATCAGGTACCGCTCTTGATAAGCTTGCAGGCTGTTAACCGTGAAATAATAACCTGTAATCCCCTCTTATTTCGGCACGGTCACGCTCGATCTCGGTCAGCCCTTCCTCGAACTCAATAATACGTTTCACTATAGTGGACAAAACAGGGGTTTTTCCACACGTTCTTGTTCGTCCAGGTTCTGTTATTGGAAAACCAATAAATACAAACCCACTTCGATGATCATAAATTAGCTGCTGACATTTCTTATCTTTATGATAATATTCCAACCATTTTCTATTTATTTCCTCGCATAAACTATGTATAGAGTCATAGGTACCATGTTGAATACAACATTTTTCTTCTTCACCTGGCTCGCTTATCATTGCCTCTTCTCGTCGAACATGCAAAATAGTGAATGGTACGTGAATCTCGGAAATTCCTACCTCCCATTTACAGCTTAGCTCGATTTCACGGGGTAACTGTGTAGAAATATTTGTTGTTGTGTTGCTCGGAAAATATTTCATTCAACTGTTACTGGGTAAAGTAATCGTAAACTCGTTATGATGGATTGTTTTTCAAATCCCTCGAATTTACCTACGAATTAAATTTTTCAGGATATCCTACCCAACTAACAAAGTGTTGTTTGCTTTTTCCTTTTCCTCTGGTTTTCAAGATCTTATCAATTTTGTGCTCCTGCTCACTGACACGCTCCTTGTGAACACGGTTGAGTTCTTGAGAGTAAAAAAACCCTTCAATTTTTTCACCATCTAAATCGTTGAGCTCGTACACATGTTAATTTTGTCTTTTCAAAATTTGAGTAATTTTAAATATCTCTTCACTCCAAGTTTTTACTGCACCTTTTTCAAACACATTTTTATCACCGCTTATGCGTACACAATCACCTACTTTATGTTTATCTTTACTTTTACTGTGACTATGTTTTGCGCGAGGTTTTCTCGAATTGACTAAATTTTGTCTAGCTACATGTGCATTATATATTGTTACGCTGCTAGGTGTTAACTTTTTTGTAGAGTGGGGGGTATTATTGTCACCACTAATTAAATCTTGTAAAACATCTAGGTAACAGTATGTATTTTTGTATGTAAAATATCTGTACATACGCTCCTTAAACGTTCGAATGACGCGCTCTACTACGGCCGCTTTAACATCAGGGTTTTTGGAAACTCAAAATTTTATAGCATTGTCTTTCAAAAAGCGCTGAAATTCACTGCCTAAAAATTCAGTCCCTCGATCCGTTTGTAACATAAAGGGCGAGTGAAATTGACTATTTTCAAGAATTTTTTTAAAACCTGCTGTTACATTACAGCAACTTTTATCTTTCAAAGGTTGCACCCATACAAATTTGCCTAATACATCAATTACAATTAAAACGAAAGACACTCCGTCGTTATAGTTTTTTAATGACGTCAGTTGAATGAAATCTGCTTCTCACAATTCATCTCTAGCATTAACATCGTAAAACAACCGTGGAAACTTTCGCCAAAT